ACATGTCGTTGTTTTTTCCAGCATCTCTCATGCTGATTCTTGACTCATTATTAGGATTATAGCGGCACGTTTATTCTCCACAGCCTCCTCAATGTGTCAGCAAAGCAGCTGCGCTGGTCCAGTTTTGGCTTTGGCCTGACTCGGGACAGAGAATACGGCTTTTAATCTCAGTCCTTGATGTTCCAGGCGTTTCTCCCCGAGGGCCGCTCCTGAACGGCGCTCAGAAACACATGTTTTTTCCTCTGTCACATTGGCTTCTTATCTATCACGGGCCTGCTGTGAACACTGATTCAGAGCGCTGAATCCTCGGAGGGCCGAGAGATTTATTACCTCACGCTGGCAATTAATAATGATGCATGCGGGCCGCCAGCGCAGCGAGAGTCGGGCAGAAAAACTGCAACTCCAAGCAAAAGAGCCGAGCTTCTCAAACATCTAAAGATCTCTGCTCTTCTGTGCACAAACATATGCTTTCATAGAGAACCGCTTGCGTTGAATTAGCCCTGCTTCATGAATGTGACGTCAGAGAAAATCAATTGCTTTTTTACACAAGGATGCAGTTGCTAAGGTGTTCCAAGAGGTTGCTAGGGTGTTTGGTTGAGATTTGCACCTTCAGTCTCTTGTCGTTTCACGTCTCTGTATCTTAATTTCTGTCTCTGTCTGCCTTGAGCTCATCTCGGACATGTCTTCACGTCGAGTGATGGACCTCGTGTCACTTCTGTCACAGCTGATGAATGCCATGTCTTTCCTCAAATGCCTAAATATATACTTATGCAACCAAAATATGTGGGAATATACTGGAAAATATAATGCAATATATTAAATAATACAAACTAGTGCTCGTATTTTTCAATATACTGCAATATGTGCATGGAATTGTATATTAATAAAAAATATAGAGCAATAAAGACAAATACTGCACTACATTTTACATGTAATAGCTTTATTGAAACACTAATTAATTTTCATGAGTTAATGCATGGGTTTACTTAAAACTGACTTTATTTTGCATAATATTGAAACAAATATTAAAGGTTTTTTTGGACAATATACTGTATGTTTAATACATACGTGTACTATGAGAAGTAAATATGTTTTCACATTTTTCAATATATGAAAAGTGACAATTGCTTATGTATTATTCAATATATTGTTATATATTAACAGAATATATTATTCTGTATATTAAACTTATGAGGAGATATATTTTCTTTGTGTATCGGTAAGCATTGTGCGCTCCCTCCTCGGTTCAAACATACATTTTATTTAATTTATTGGGTTGTTTTCATACAGTATTTATTGCTCTTCACATATTTTAGAATAACATGCACTGATGAATCATTCACAATAAGAACAGAAGAATATGTGCTATTTAATAAACAACCAAAAAGTCTAAACAATGTTCTAATAATATTTTATAATATTATAAAGCGTATAAACAATATAAATGAGGGCTGCATAAATGGCATCGATAATTAACAAAACGGGCTCTTTGTTAAAAAGGTTTTACTTTATAACGATCAAATATCAGTAAACAAAACAAATATTTTGCTCACTTTTTTTTATTATAAGGAAAAATACAACAAAACAGAAACAATTGTAAATAACAATTAAACGGCAATAAAAAAAGATAATATTGGAATAATATTTTATATTATGAATAATATATTTACATTTTAGTATAAATAAATATGTACATTTTATATTAATTTAAATTTAATAAAAATATACATTTATATCAGTTGTAAATGAAGGCGACATAAATATCATCACCAATAATTAACAAAACAGCCTCTGTTTAAAAAAGAAGTTTTTACTTTGCTTTGTCCGTCAGTCCAATTAGCAGAAATGCCATTTTTCTCTCTTCTCTTTCTTTTTTATTATAAAGAAAAAACTAAAAACAAAAGCAATCATAAATAACAATTGAATACCAATAAACAAAACTATATAAATAACATTGTAAAAATATTTTGTATTATTATAAATAATTTATTTTATAGTATAATAAATAAATAATTAGATGCCGTTTATATTATTATAAATAATAATAATAAAGCTACATACAGGTGACATAAATGGCATCATCAGAAATTAACAAAACCGTATCTTTGTAAAAAAAAAAGGTTTTTATTTTGTACAATTGCAGAAACGGCATTTTCCTCTTTTTTTTATTATAAAGAAAACATTTTAAACAAACAAAAGCAATCATAAGTAACAATTAAACACCAATAAACAAAAAAAACATTGTAGAAATATTTGTATTATTTTGAACAATATATTTTATATTATAATAAATATATATATAGATATTAGGGATGTGCATCTCCATGACTGATACGATACGCATCTCGATGCATAGCCAACGATACGATACATTAAAGATACACATGAAGCAGCTACCGATGCGATGCGATACGGTTCACCCCTGTTACGATGCAGTGCGATCTGATTTCGATTCGATTCAACAATGCGATTCGATGCGATTCGATGCAATGGAGAAAATATGATAACTTTTTATGCCTCGAGGCCCGTTTCATAAAACAAGTTAACCAAAAAAGCCAGGCTTATTTCAGTTAGTCTGACTCATTGTCAAATGATTTGGTTCCATAAAGCAAATTGAACATAGGCCTAGATCAAGCTTAGTTACTGTGGCAATTTATGCTGGGAAACTAACCTGGTCTAAAGCAGGCTAAGCTCCTCTAACACTGACCAATAGGAATGTAATTACCACTCTCTCACAAACTAATATTTGACTAGCCATGCAGCCTTTCTCTCTGGTTTTATGACTGCTGTACCTTTTATAGTTTGCAGAACAGATAGCAGAACATTACAATCTAAAATTGCTCTTTAAAGCATTAAAATAACTAAATTAAAAGTTAAAATCACTGAATTAAAAATGGAAATAAATGATAAAGAAAATGACTATTTTAACTGCTATAAGAAACACATTAACTCATTTGAGCTTGGTAATTAGTACTGAACTAGCTTACATCTGATTTACCCATTACAATAGTCCCTTTACAGTTACTGCTATCATAAAAATACACTTATATGTAGGTTTAAAATTCTACAAAAGACACATTTAATGTCCAACAACAAATATTTTAGCAAAATGTATATTTTTCTCAGAATTATTGCGCTACTATTCTATTGCGCTCCGTCAGCCTCGCCCACTCCTGACAGCAAAATGGATATGTTTGCATGACTTTCTAACATTTACAGATGAAAAATATACCTGTGACATGTTATGATAACTTTTTATGCCTCGAGGCCCGTTTCATAAAACAAGTTAACCAAAAAAGCCAGGCTTATTTCCGTTAGTCTGACTCATTGTCAAATGATTTGGTTCCATAAAGCAAATTGAACATAGGCCTAGATCAAGCTTAGTTACTGTTGCAATTTATGCTGGGAAACTAACCTGGTCTAAAGCAGGCTAAGCTCCTCTAACACTGACCAATAGGAATGTAATTACCACTCTCTCACAAACTAATATTTGACTAGCCATGCAGCCTTTCTCTCTGGTTTTATGACTGCTGTACCTTTTATAGTTTGCAGAACAGATAGCAGAACATTACAATCTAAAATTGCTCTTTAAAGCATTAAAATAACTAAATTAAAAGTTAAAATCACTGAATTAAAAATGGAAATAAATGATAAAGAAAATGACTATTTTAACTGCTATAAGAAACACATTAACTCATTTGAGCTTGGTAATTAGTACTGAACTAGCTTACATTTGATTTACCCATTACAATAGTCCCTTTACAGTTACTGCTATCATAAAAATACACTTATATGTAGGTTTAAAATTCTACAAAAGACACATTTAATGTCCAACAACAAATATTTTAGCAAAATGTATATTTTTCTCAGAATTATTGCGCTACTATTCTATTGCGCTCCGTCAGCCTCGCCCACTCCTGACAGCAAAATGGACATGTTTGCGTGACTTCCTGACATTTACAGATGAAGAATATTACTGTGACATGTACAGGAAAACACAACGTCTTAAATGCATTAAACAGCACAGATATATTCGCTGTTTGTCATGGTGGATCGATTTGATCCATGGTCGACATTAGGAGCTGCTTAAGAATAAGCGTGCACAAATTAGTGAGATTGTGTGAACTTAATTTGTCGTTTATGGAACCGCTTTAGCCCTGATTGATTTGTTAGGTTATTTCAAGACAGGTTTTGGACTTTAATCCCCGCTTTTCCTCAAATATGTTAGAAACGATGCATTGTGATACAAAAGCCAACTTGTATCTGATGCACACTTTTTAAACCGATGCATCGCATCGTTAACTTTTTATGCCGATGCACCGAGCGAATCGGGGAATCTTCCCATCCCTGAGATGGATGGATGGATGGATGGATGGATGGATGAATAGAATGATAGATGGATGGATAGAACGATAGATGGATGGATGGATGGATGGATAGAACGATAGATGGATGGATGGATGGATAGAACGATAGATAGATAGATAGATGGATGGATGGATAGAGCGATAGATGGAAAGATAGATGGATGGATAGAACGATAGATGGATGGATAGAACGATAGATGGATGGATGGATGGATGGATAGAATGATAGATGGATGGATAGAACGATAGATGGATAGATGGATGGATGATGGATGGATTGAAATAAGATAGATATATATAAAAGATAAAAAATATAGATATAAAAACTACATACAGGTGACATAAATGGCATCATCAGTAATTAACGAAACAGCCTGTTTTCATAAAAATGTTTTACTTTGCCTTGCTTTTAATTTGCACTAAAGAAATCCTTAGTCTGTCAGTCCGATTTGCAGAAAAGCCAATTTTATATCTCTGAATTCAAATTTAATATCTCACAATTCTGACTTTTCTGAATTCTAAGTTTACATTTCACATTTTTTATTTTTTAGTGAGGTTTTATCTGAATGGTGAGTTTACATCTTGCTGTAATTACTTTCCCCCCAAAATTCTATTTACATCTTGCGATTTTGAATGTTTTTCCTCAATTGCAAGTTTATAGGGCCAGACCCCTACATGAGACACTCCGGCTGCCCCAACGCGGGTCTCTACCCCAGACAGGACAGCCCGTCGCAGCCCCGGCCGTCCCCCACTGGATCTCTGGCCAACAGCCCTCCGGGAACCTGCTCGCCCGCATTCAGACCCCTGCAGCACCCCTCGCCCCGACCCCCGCCTGACCCCCCCAAAGTCACCCACGAGCAGTTCAAGGCCGCGCTGCAGATGGTGGTGGATAAAGGAGATCCGCGCTCGTATCTGGAGAACTTCGTGAAGATCGGCGAGGGTTCGACGGGTGTGGTGTGCATCGCCCGCGAGAAACACAGCGGACGGCTGGTGGCCGTCAAGATGATGGACCTCAGGAGACAACAGCGCAGAGAACTTCTCTTCAATGAGGTCAAACAACGAACGAGTATAATATGAATCAAAACAACCCCAATATTGCTTTAGGAATAGTTAATCCGAAATTGAAAACGTGCTCACCGTCCTGCCATCCGAGATGTAGAGGAGTTTGTTTCTTCATCAGATTTGGAGAAATGTAGCACTGCATCAGTGTCTCAGCAATGGATGCTCTGCAGTGAATGGGTGCCGTCAGAATGAGAGTCCAAACAGCTGATAAAAACATCACAATAATCCACAAGAAATCCACAGCACTCCAGTCCATCAGTTAACATCCGGAGAAGACACAAACTAACCCTTTAAGACATTTTTACCTAAAATATGAGTTCATAATAATGCTTCCTCCAGTGAAAAAGTGGTCTGGTCTGAATCAGGAGAGAAATCTGCACAGATCAAGAACTGTTTATAAGCCAAAACAGTCCAAAACAGCTCTAAACAAATATATGGCTGGATTCTAATGTGAGAGACACCAGGAGATGTCCTTTTTCACTGGAGGACGTGTTATTAAGGATTATGGGTGCATATTTTAGTTAAAAACGTCTTAATGATGGATTTGTTTCAGCTTTTGTCTTCTCCAGATGTTAACTGATGGACTGGATTGGTGTGGCTTACTTGTGGATAATTGTGATGTTTTTATAAGCTGTTTGGACTCTCATTCTGATGGCACCCATTCACTGCAGAGCATCCATTGCTGAGACACTAATGCAATGCTACATTTCTACAAATCTGATGAAGAAACAAACTCATCTACATCTTGGATGGCCTGAGGGTGAAGACATTTTTGTGTGAACTATTCCTTTAAATGTAAATATTATGCATTCACTGTCTATGTGAAAAGATTCAATATCCGACTATAGAATTGGCCATTTAAAATGCACATATTTGTTGATCTAAAAAGGGTTTCAGATGACATTGACCCCAGAGCATTCAGTCACAAAATGTTTTGAATGATAGTAATGTGTTTTGAAAGGGAAATGTCTAGGGTTATTAATGTATTTTTCAATCACAGTGTATGATTTATTGCAAGGCACAGAAACGTCTCTAGGTTACGTATGTAACCATGGTTCCCTGAGGGAATGAGATGCTGCGTTGAGTCGCTTTGGGAACGCCCTTGCGTGACCGCGTTCTAAAGCACGTGTCAAATCAGTCCAATGGAGCAGCGAGACATCACGAGCGGGGTGACGTAAGCACCAGAAAGTATAAAAGTGCATTCAGCAGAGCGCAAACCAGCTTCGATGAATTCAGTCACAAAATGTTTTGAATGATAGAAATGTGTTTTGAAAGGGAAATGTCTAGGGTTATTAATGTATTTTTCAATCACAGTGTATGATTTATTGCAAGGCACAGAAACGTCTTTAGGTTACGTATGTAACCATGGTTCCCTGAGGGAACGAGATACCCACTGCGCCATACTACCAAGTCCCTGCCTGTGTGTGTATCTTGCAAGCACATCGCGAAGAGAGAAGGTAGATGCCAGGTCTAAGTTGTAAAAACGGACAAAAGTGTGCGGAGAGGACCAGCCCGCCGCAGCACAAATGTCCTGCAAGGCCACACACAAGTTGAAAGCCTTGGAGGCCGCCATACTCCTGGTCGAGTGCGCTCTGACCCCCATAGGTGACGGGAGGCCAGAGGACTCGTAGGCTAGTGAGATGG